GCTTGGGCTGCATCCCCCTACTTCTGTTCCAATCAAAACTGGTGTCGCCAGAGCTTGCTTGGCATATCAGGCCTCTTCCCTAAGTAAGTGTAGGTTGTGTGTCTTTCCACGCAGCTGTCTGCATGGCTGCAGGCCACCTGACTAGAACCTGTCTGGATTTGAAAGTGGATGCTGGGCCAATGGCCAGAAGTTGAGGGGGGGAGGGGAGCCAAAAATGTCATGTGCCTTAGCCTCTGGGAGAAGGCTAGTTTCTTAGCACCCTGTGCTGTTGAGGGCATGGACCATCCTAGATATAGTCTGCAAATGACAAGAAGGACAAAGGACCCCTAGAAAAACTGTGGGTCCACAATGGTATCACACACTAAGAAGCTAATAAAGCCCCTTCCAAGGTCCTAAAAAGCCCTGGTTGCATATTCACATATCTTTGTAAAGCTCAATAAGGTGAACATAACTAATCCTGACCCAAGGTCTATATTATTTCCAACTTTTCTCTGGTTGGTCTGCTGCTGGGGAAGTAGGCACTTTATGACATGACCAAGAGGAAATTAAGTTGTAGAGATATCAGTTGGAACTTTGCAGAGATAACATTCTTTCTAGTCATTTCTTTTCTTAACAGAATGAGGGCCAGGCATTCTGTAATAGAAAATAACTTTCAGGAATGCTATGGCTGGCTGCTTGGTTCAGGGTCTTATTGGTTCCACAGAAAATGCTGATAGATAAGGTGGTACAGGGTACTAACACTCAAAGTAACAGATGTGCTATCACACGGTGCATCAGAGGGAATTCACATTGGTTAACTCAGACACAGCCAATTTCCAAACCTCCCATCTTATAAATGAAAAACTAGTGTGAACAAGAATTTCTGGAAAGACTCTCTGTCTGCCAAGGCTGATGGACTGATTAAAACTGCAATGATGTGAAGAGGTTGGAATGTTGCAGGTCCAGAGGCTAATTACCTTATCGGGCTAGTTTTACCCCCCCATAAACAGTCATTTCTTGCCCACCTCTATATCAGAACTAATATCCTGTGACTGATTAATAAAAGCCTTTTAAAATCTATTGATTTAGCAGACCACTAGTTTCTACCAATCCAATAGATAAGAATGTCATCATATAACATCTGAAGTTTATAGAAAACCTCCCCCCACATTTTTTAAACCACCTCGCTGATGTACCCACTAATATATTTTAAACTTCGTTGATTTATGACTTACTTTGTTCCATAAAATTATACAACTTCACGAAATTGTTTTCATGATGGAATATGGAATTTGGGGTAACTTAAATCTGTGTTTCTGGGCCATGGTCACTCAAAATGGCTCCAGAATAAACTCTTATTGCTTTAAATAAGAGAGCTGTGGTTTTTGTGTCAACACTGGGCAGTGTTCTCTCAACTTTAACAGCAGTCTTTTCATTGCTTGTTTGTTTTATGTGTATGGTGTTTTGCTTGCATGTATGTATATGCATCGTGTATGTTCCTGGTGGCTTCAGAGATCAAAGAAGGTGTTGGATTCCCTGGAGCTGGAGTTACAGATGGTTGTGAGCCACTATGTGGGTGCTGGGTATTGAACCCAGGTCCTCTGGAAGAGCCACCAGCTCTCTTAACTACTGAACTAACTCTCCAGCCCCTTAGCAGCAATCTCTTTTTCTTTTTTTCTTTCTTTTTTTTTTTTTAACAAAACATTTATTTTTCCCGGTGTGATGGAGCATGTCTTTAATACTAACCCTCAAGAAACAGAAGCTGGTGGAGCCCTGTAAGTCCAGCGCCACCCTGGTCTACAGGAATATGTAAAAAGACCCTGTCTTAGAAACAAAACTGACTTATTTTATCTGTATGAATGTTTTGCTCACACTATATGTCTGTGCCTGGTGTTTGAGGAGGTCAGAAGAGGGCACTGGATTTCCTGGAACTGGAGTTATGGATGTTTTTGAGCTACCATGTGAGTGCTAGGAATAGAACCAGGGACCTCTGCAAGAACAACAAATGCTCTTAACCTCTGAGCCATCTCTCCAGCCCCCTTAGTAGCATTCTTGATAAGACACTTCTCCTCCTATCACTAATAAGGCAACAACAGCTCAAGTTCTTTAGAATAAGCCACTTTTGGGGTTCAATCAGCCATTTGAGGGGCTAAGTTATCTTTTTCTTGGAAAATAATATTTCAAAATTGTTAGAAGAGATAATTTTAAAAGTAGCAACATAGGGACTGGAGAGAGGGGTTATTGGTTAAGAGAACTTGCTGCTCTTACGAAAGACTGGGTTTTGATTCCTAGCACCTGCATAGCAGCTCATAACCTTCTATAACTCCAGTTCCAGGGAAATCTTCTGGTGTCTATGGCCACCAGACACACATATGGTGCTCATACATACATGCAGACAAAACAGTCATACACATAAAATTGAATTAAAAATTTCAATGTACTAACCAATAAAGAATAAAAGTCCTATTTATGGCTTTTGTGATGTTTGTGCTTTTAGTCTCTTTTTTAAATACTTAATTTTTGTGTGTGTGATTCTGTCTGTGTCTTAGTGTTTTATTGCTGTGATGAGATACCATGGCAAATCTTTTTTTTTTTTTTTTTTGAAGTGGGGGCTTCAAGACAGAGTTTTTCTTTGTAACCCTGGTTGTTCTGGAACTCACTCTGTAGACCAGGCTGGCCTCGAACTCAGAGATTTGCCATGATAACTCTTAAGAAGAAAAAACGTTTAATTGGGGGGTGGCTTACAGTTCAGAGGTTTAGTCCATTATTGTCATGGTGGGAAGCATGCAGACAGACATGGTGCTGGAGAGGTAGTTAAGAGTTCTACATCTGTATCTGCAGGCAGCAGGAAGAGCAAGAGAGTCACTGGGCCTATCTTGAGCTTCTGAGACCTCCAAGCCCACCCCCAGTGAAATATTTCCTCAACAAGGCTACACCTACTCCAACAGGGCCATACCTCTAAATAGTGCCACTCCCTATGAGCCTATGGGGGCCATTTTCATTCAAACCACAGTCTGTAATTCTGAGTAAATACATACCAAATTTTGTAGTGATTATTTTTGCATTTTTTCATGGAGAAGCATTCACTTTAGGCTGCTCAAGTGGATGGGTTCTATGGTACTAGCCTAGCCATCTTTTTTTGTGGAGACAAATTGTCATTTAACAGCATTAGGCCACTGGATGGCTGGTGCTCCCATTCCAGATCTATTCTGTCCACTCCATGATAAAAGTATGTGTGATTATCCACATTCTCCTACAAACAGGAGCGTGAAGTGACCTGTAGGAAGTGTAATTACTGAGGCATGGATGGAGCCAGAGACATGACCACCTATCCTGGTAACAGTAAAGGGCTTCTTGCCATAAGCACTATTAAGGACTGCCCTGCTTTGAGGGAGGTGTGGCCTGAGGACAAATTCCCTAAACATGTTCATGTTATCCAGGTCAGTATCATTGTGCTTTTATGTCATTCAGGGAAATACTAGTTTGAGCTCCTGACATGCAGATTCCTGCTGCTTGTCCCTGTTCATCTGCCTTACCACAGTTCCTCAATTCTGCTGGTCACAGAAGTGATCTTAGCACAGTGCTAAGTGCTGTCGCTGTCCCCTAAGTTGTGGCATTCTTATAGAGAAAAGAGATGTATAAGAGTAGCTTCTTTCAGGTCTGAGTGCTAGCACTGCCAGTCCACAGAAGAAAGTAATGAATTGTTCTATGTTACTTATTAAACAAGGTATCTATAAGCAGAGGCACTTAGGAAAAAAGGTCATGTGTCAGTTAAGTGCTCCAGCTAGCAGAACCTTACTATCCCCTGAGGGCAGTGATGCAGCATTTCTTTCAGGGTCTGCTTTGATCCATCCATGAGTTCTTTAGGACCTGAACTACAGCAGGTAACAAGCACCTGAGTTCCTGAGGCCCCTGCCAGTGAGAACAAAAGGCCCAGCAGGAGATAGTAAGATGTGTGAAGGCTTCACAGCAACTAAGATAGGTGAAGGTCCTCTGACATCAGAGATACCCCTGAATATGACCAGAGAGCATGGAATACAAATTTAAGGGTCCACAGTCAGCAGAGTGTACAGCCTAGGGAGTCTTCCACACAACTGAGAGAAGTATTCATTTTAATTGTTGTATGATTGTATGTAAAAACCAGTTTAGTATTATTATCTTTTGAGACAGGGTCTCATTATGTAGCTCTCATGTCACTAGACCAGGCTGACCTTGAATTCACAGAGATCCTCCTGCCTCTCCCTCTTGAATGCTGGGCATGCACCACCATGCCCCACAGTCTAGTATTATTTTCTAAAGTGACTGTAATGCTCCCTGTTACCTCTTGTGCCACTCCAGCCATATGAGAATCTGGGCATGGACCATGCAGGTACAAGGACAGACTGTTCATAAAAGTAAAATCAGAGTAGGGTGGTGGCGGCACACGCCTTTAATCCTAGCACTCTGGAGGCAGAGGCAGGCAAATCTCTGAGTTTGAGGCCAGGTCTACAGATTGAGTTCCAGGACAGCCAGAGCTACACAGAAAAACCCTGTCTCGAAAAACAACAACAAAAAAGTAAAAAATCTGGTTATGAACCTGAGCACACTGACAGTAGATTTAGTACTCCAATTGTAGGTCCAAAGTCACAGGCACTATCTGGATAACACAAAACTGTGGTTACTGTGGATGCCCTTCCCTTGCATGCTGGTCCTCAAAGACCTGGGAACACAATGAAGGAAGGTCTTGCTTTGCCATTGGGGTAAGGGGGTTTGTGAGAACCCCGCTGAGGTTTGCAGCTAGCTATGAATGTCCCCATAGATTCTCCACTGCTTATAGGAACAAAGGCCTCATATCCAGTATTCTGAGACCCTCTGAGGGAAATCTAGCCCATTCCTTGTTTTGTTTTGCTCATCTGGCGCTGGGCATAACAAATCCTTGCGGGCCACCTCGTCCCTCTGTCGGAGGCAAAGGCTCCGCCTTCAACAGGGCAGCACCGCCCCTCTGGAGGCCCTAACCAGGCTCTCCGTTTGGGCCCCGCCCACGCGAGCCTGCGCGTTAGGTAGCACAGTCGGAAGCTGGGAGCGGGCACCGCTGAGGACCCTCTACATCGCCGATCTGGCTTTATCGCGCAGCTGCTGTTGGAGTGGTCGGGTTGCGGATGGCGGCGGCAGCCGAGGCCGGGGCCCGTACCTGGCCGGGCAGCGATTCCCCACGTCTCGGCAGCCCGGCCGGCAGCCCGGTACTGGGCATCTCAGGCCGCGCACGCCCAGGGTCAGGGCCGGAGAGGACTGGCAGAGCTGTTGGCCCTGCAGCGCCCGGCCACAGCTTCCGCAAGGTGACACTCACCAAGCCCACCTTCTGCCACCTCTGCTCGGACTTCATTTGGGGGCTGGCCGGCTTCCTGTGCGATGGTGAGAATCCACCCTGTGTCCTGAGGCCGCTCCCAAGAGCCCTAGCCCTTCTCCTGATACACTGTCCTAACCTTTGAGCCCTGTCCCTCTTGGCAGTGGCCTTAGAGACAGTCTCTTGTTTGAATAGGGCCTCCCTGTGGAGGTGACGCCTGCTTTTAGGGGTAGGAAGGAGGGGTGTCCCCGGTCTGGCCCCCCTTGGCCTGGGATCTCAGGATTTCCTAGTGGAAGGTGGAGACAGAGTCGCCGTAGTGCAATGCTGTGGATGGACTCCAGCGGGGTTGCAAGAGGCAAGGTGTGTGTTGAGTCAGTTGCTGGGCCTGGGCATAGAGATATGAAGGTAGGACTGAGACCTTAGGCAATGGCGTTCCGTGTCTGGCTTCCTAAGTGCCCGGGACACTAGGAGAAGGCAAGCAGGGCTGGCCTGAACCATGGGTCCTGGTCATTCTTGTCCCAAGTGCAGGCTGATGTACAGAGGGACTAAATGATTCTTTGCTCAGGCTCAACTGCTTGGAGAGCCAGGCCCAGCCTTCTTTACAGATGTGGCATGTCCCAACACAGCTCCCACCCAGCTGCCAAGCCGGCTGGGCAGGGCAGAGGATGGCACCTCTTCCTCTGCTCCCCAGGTAGTTCTGTGGCCGGCCCTCTTCGTGTTCTTCCTCTTGTGAGGAGGCAGACCCCAAGACCCACCTCCCAAGTCTGTGAGGGGCATCTGGGCCTTTGACAGTGTGTTCTGACCAGGGACTGAAGCTGGGACCAGTTAAGGAGCATCTGTCCTGCTCAGGCAGATAGGCTTGTGCTCCTCACACAGAAGTGTATTCTGCTAGTGGGAATGGCTAGTTGTCATGGCACCTTAGGGCCATCAGTGACATAGGAGTGGTCACCTGGTTTTCTCTGTCAGATAAGAAATATTATGCCGGGCGGTGGTGGTGCACGCTTTTAATCTCAGCACTCGGGAGGCAGAGCCAGGCATAACTCTGTGAGTTAAAAAGAGGCCAGCCTGGTCTACAGAGTGAGTGCCAGGAAAGGCACAAAACTACACAGAGAAACCTTGTCTCGAAAAGCAAAAAACAAAGAAACAAAACAAACAAAAAAGAAACATCACACTGTCCTACCTGCTCTTTTATAGTATGTGAGTCCCACTGTGGTGAAGGCTGCGGTGTGTCTGACTTAGCTGCAGGTCTGAAGCTATACCTCAGGATCTACAGGGTAGCATAGGCAAGGATTCAGGTAGAAGGGTGGTTCTCTGACTCACTTTATTGTTGAAAACCACAGAAAGCAAAGCTTCAAATCTAAGTGTAATCTCTGTGGAGGTAAAGGTAGTGGAGGTAGACCTACAGGTCAGAGGCTAGACCTAGGCTCTTTGAAGAACTAAGAGATAATGAAAGGAGGACTTGAAGTCTAAGGGTAGATTCCAGGTACTCCTTACAGATATGACCCCTGGCCTAGGTCTGTGGAGTCAAGAAACCCAAGCAAAATCTTGGTGTATAGCAGTCTTAGGATCTGGTCCTCAAGCAAGGGTACAGAGCCTCTTCTAGGCAGCATTGTGGGGAATGGGCTGGAACCCCAGCAGATGTCCTCACAAAGTATGGGCAGAGGCCTTCCACCTTCAGGAGCACATAAGGTTCTACACACAACAGGTGTTGCCTCAACCTACAGAGGAGGCAGCTGGCAAGACCTTCCATGGTTGAGTAAATGGAGTGCCTGGGAAAGACTCTTGTTGGGTCACTGCTTTCTCATCTGCTTTTCTCACCAGCTCTAGTCTCCTTCCAGTAGTTTTCTCTGGAGCATCCCATGGAAAAAATTTATTTGTCCCCTTGTAGGACTGAGGTGTCTGAGGTCTCAGCAGGAGGGAAGCAGCCACTGGGGCCCTCTGGATAGGTCCTGGCTCCTCAGGCTGTATTAGTGGTCATGTCCCTTTGTTCCTACAACCTCATCCACAGTATCCTACCTGTGGAACCCAACCCAGGACCTTCACTCTCTTGTCCTGTGTAGCTAGTGTTTTCCTGCCTGGCCCACAGTCAAATCTCTGTCACCCGCCAGTCCCACAGCCGCTCAGACCCAACCAAGTAAACACAGAGAGTTATATTGCTTACAAACTGTATGGCTGTGGCAGGCTTCTTGCTAACTGTTCTTAAAGCTTAAATTAACCCATTTCTATAAATCTATACCTTGCCATGTGGCTCATGGCTTACCAGCATCTTCACATGCTGCTTGTCATGGCGGCAGCTCGGCGGCTGGCAGTGACTCCTCCCACCTCCTGTCAATTCTTCCTCTCAATTCTCCTCTGTGTTAGTCCCGCCTATACTTCCTGCCTGACCACTGGCCAATCAGTATTTTATTTATTGACCAATCAGAGCAATTCCCACAGCAGTCCTGCCCTGGCTCTGATATGTTACATAGGCTTATATCCCCTCTTGTGTATCACCAAGTTTGTTTCACTGCTGAAGCTCTATTTGTGCTGAGGCCTAGAAACACCCCCACCCCCCACTCCCAAGCCAGGTGTGTTTTGTGAGTCCTGGGCCCTCCCACAGATGTTTATGTGCACTCTGCCTTTGGAAACTCATCTCTTGGGTCCTCTATTGGCCTCGGAGACAAGGGAGTTCTGAGTCAGTGTGACAGGCATGGGCCATTCCCAAGACAGCAGGGCACACTCATCTCCCACTATGGTCCTACTGTGGCATCTGGCCTTTGGGCTCTTAAGGATGGTGTTACTGCCCGCTTCCATAATGACGGAGATCACAGGAATGACATTCCTGCCCCTCAGTGTCATAGGGCTAGGGTCCCATACTGACTAGCCCAGTTCAAGAACTTCCCCCATTGGCTCTGGCTGAGTGGCCCCTTGATGATGGGCTCTTAGCCCTGTTGTGGAATGCTCATGCCCTGTTATGCTGACAAAGGCTGAGTCTTCCTAAGCGTACACGGGGCTGCTTAGCAGGGTGGGCTGACTCACACAGCTCTCCTCCCTGCAGTCTGCAACTTCATGTCCCATGAGAAGTGCCTGAAGCAAGTGAAGACCCCGTGCACAAGCATCGCTCCAAGCCTAGTACGGGTAAGCGTGGGGTTGAGTGCTGACCTCTAGCTGTCCTTTGCATTGGCAGTTTAGTCACATCATAGTTAGGAAGCAAAGGGCAGAGTCCTGTTCACAATCAGAAGGAAGGAGCCATTGATGACCTGAGCACCCTGAGTGGATCTCTAGGGAACTATATTGAAAACAGTCAGTGTCAAAGGGCACATACTTATCTATGGAACACTCTGAATGAGGAAGTCAGAGGAACACAGATCAGAGGTTCAAGGTAAGGAAGTGGATGTGGCTGCAAAAGGGCCAAGTGAGAGGTCCTGGAGGCTGGGTACTTTGCTTGGACTGCATGTACTCTCAGTGCTTTGGCTATGACACTGACAAGTTTTGTAATCTGTTAAGATTGGAAAATGGGTAAAGACCACAGGGGATCTCTGGATTGTTTCTCACAAATGCACATAAACCCTAGAGGTTGTAACATTAAATGCTTATATAAAAGGCTTCAGAGCCTTGGAGTAGGTTTTGGCTATTGACCTTCCTTCACAGGGCTCTGGAGAGGGCAGTGAGGCTCCTAGCAGGGCACAGAGACTTCCTTTCTGTGAGTAACGGTAGTGGGGACAGTAGCATAGCTAGACACAGTTCAAACAGGTGAGCATGAGATACTTGATTACTAGGTGTGAGTACAAAACTCCAAGGATGCTAGCTGCTGGCTGCTGTAGTCTCAGGATGCTATGCTTGCCAGAGTGGTGCCCTTGTGAACACGGTGAGGCTATAGCTATTTAATGTTTTCTTATTTTTACTTAAGAATAAAAATAAATACTAGTATGATTTCAAATATTCTCAGAGGATATAGATACTTAAAAAGAAAATAAAAATCATCTTCCATCCTGACATATACATAGACTACCCTTCTAGTGTGCAGTTTTTCTGTCCTGCTAATTGAGTGTTCTTTAAGTCTTAGGCTAAGGACCAGTCAAGTTAAGACCTGACCCTTCCAATCTACTTTCATGGGAAGGCAATTTTCCATCTCATGTTCACAGTCACTGTGATTGCCTCCAAGAGGGCAGATCTGGGGGGCTTTGGAAGCTCCTGAATCTAACAGGTACTTGGTAGTTGGCAGTCTTGCTGGCCTGTGGAGTAAGGAATGGATGTCAGGTGTCTTTCCATTACCTGTGCTTACAGTACTACAGATGTGAAGTTACAGAGCCTTTTCTCTACTCACCTGTCCCATAATCAGTTAGGCTAGCCCCAGTCCAGGTCTCATGGTAGTATAGCTGGGTTGAGGTAGACACTCTCAAGCAGTACCTGAGCTACAGATTTGTGAAGGTGAAGGAGGAAGAGAGATGATCCCCTCTGTTCAAACAGTTACCAGCAGGTGATGCTGGGCCAGTTCCCAGGGCTACCAGGAATAAGGGGTGCAGGCCCAGGCAGGCCCAAATCTGAGGATTGTTCTGCCCCTATAGGTCCCTGTAGCCCACTGCTTTGGCTCCCTCGGGCTCTACAAGCGCAAGTTCTGTGTGGTCTGCCGCAAGAGCCTGGAGGTACCTGCGCTCCGCTGTGAAGGTACCATTGGGCCTGTGGTCCCCTTGGAACTGAGCTCATCAATCAAGGGGCCTGATCTCTACTGCTCTGGGTAGCCCAGCCATCCTCTACCTGTGGCTTGTCAGTGCATGGGTAGTAGGCTCAGGATAATTTTGGGGGCTCCAACGGTAGGAGCCTACCAGGCAAGAAGCAATTAGTCTAAAAGAAGCTGGTTCAGGATGGCAGGGGTTGGGGTTGGAGCATGCCCAAGCTAAGTGGTCAGTGAGGAGGGCAGGGGTATGGCAAGAGGCCCCTAACCTTGCCCACCCCCCAGTGTGTGAGCTGCACGTTCACCCCGAGTGTGTGCCCTTCGCCTGCAGCGACTGTCGTCAGTGCCACCAGGATGGACAGCAGGATTATGTGAGTGTACAAGTACTGGGGTAGGTTTGGTAGGGGTAGGCTGGCTGAGCTTCTGATTGTCCTCCATCCTCAGGACACATATCACCACCACTGGAGGGAGGGGAACCTGCCTTCTGGTGCACGATGTGAGGTCTGTAGGAAGACTTGTGGTTCCTCAGATGTGCTGGCTGGTGTACGCTGTGAGTGGTGTGGTGTACAGGTGAGCATGGGAATGGGATGAATGGGGCCTTGGGTGTGGGACAAAAGACAGCTGAAGCCATCAGGCAGGGTAGGCTCTATGACAGGGTATATGTGGAGGAGGGGGGGAAGTTCCTTTCTTTCAAGTTGTCTACATCCTATTGTTTTCTGGGTTATGGAGTAGCACCTCTGGCTTTGTGCACCATCTAGATGGGTGCTTAGCCTGATGGATATAGCAGCTTTCTGCCCAAGGTGCCAGACTTATACCTTTGTCCTACCAGGCCCACTCAGTGTGCTCCACAGCACTCACACCTGAGTGTACGTTTGGGCGTCTACGTTCCATGGTATTGCCTCCCTCATGTGTGCGCCTCTTATCCCGAAACTTCAGCAAGATGCACTGCTTCCGCATCCCTGAGACTATGGCCTTGGAGCTTGGTGAGGCATAGAGGTGGGACTGGGGTATACCCTGTCTGGGCCAGGCACTGAGTACAAGGGCTTTGTCTGTCCTGCAGGTGATGGAGACGATGGCCTAGATGGAAGTGCTGCCACAGGCATAGGCAGAGAGATGCAGACAGCCACAGAATCCAGTAAGTATGCCACTTAGCTGTCACTCTGTCCTGCCTAGTTTCAGGCCCCCAAGATTCTCAGCTGCTTCCCTCTTGCCTAGCCAAACAGACCTTGAAGATCTTTGATGGCAACGATTCCATGAGGAAAAATCAGTTTCGCCTGGTTACAGTTTCCCGCATGGCTCGGAATGAGGAGGTGATGGTAAGAGTGAGCCTATGCACAGAGGTGTGGTACACACTACCATACCTGGAGCACTCTGCTTACCTGGCCCTTCATATCTGGCCCCCTTCACAGTTGGCTTCCTCATACCTGCCTCCCTCACCTCTTCCCTTCACCTGGCCCCACATACTTGGCTCTACCCTTTACAGGAGGCAGCACTTCGAGCCTACTATATCAACGAGGACCCTAGAGACTTCCAGCTGCAGGCACTGCCCTTAACCATACTGTCTGGCAATGCCCAGGCCCCGGGGAAGGCCGGAACCACTGAGGAAGAGGCTAGCAAAGGCTCTGGGCCCCGGGATTCCATGCCTGAGGCCTGGGTCATCAGGTCTCTGCCTCGTGCCCAGGAGATCCTGAAGATCTACCCTGGCTGGCTCAAGTAAGACTCAAAGCACAAGATCTGATGAGGGAGGGTTAGGGTGAGGACCCAAAGCCCATACTTTGAGTCTGTCCCCCACAGGGTGGGTGTGGCCTATGTGTCCATCCGTGTGAACTCACAGAGTACAGCACAGTCTGTGGTTCAAGAGGTTCTTCCGCTGCTTGGACGACAGGTATGTACACTGTCCATTCCCATCCAACTCTGAGGTCACCTGCCCAATGGGCTAGGCTACTATTCCTCTGAATGTCCTGTGGATATGGGGGTTCTGTCCTAGGCCTGATGTTTTGCCCATGCTGTATAGGTTGAGGATCAGGGGAGATTCCAGCTGATTGAGGTGCTCATGAGCAGCAGACAAGGTAAGTGGGCTGCATTTTCAGATCCTTTTATGTAGTAGGGTTGGGCCTGCTGCTCTGGGAGGCCTACTAGGACATTGGGGCTAGACCATGCCCTTCTGATCAGTCCCACCTAGACTCACTTGCATGTCCCAGAGACTCAGAGCAGCTGTTTATAGAAGGGAGGAGCCTAGCGCTGACATGCTGTGTCCCTCAATCCTACAGTCCAAAGGACAGTGCTGATGGATGAGGAACCTCTGCTAGACCGACTTTGGGACATTCGACAGGTCAGTGGGTATAGACAGTACTTCCAGGGAACTGCCAGCCCTTAGCCATGGCATATACTGGAATGCCACCAAGGCTGTCCACTCACCTGCCACCTCCAGAGGAGCATTTCTTCTCAGACACTATAACCTCCCCAATCATCAGCTGATGTCCCTGGCTGGCAGTATCCTCTATAACATATCACCTATTTCTGGCTGGGAGGCCTTGAGTCTTCATGTTAGTTAGAGTATCCAAGTTAGTTTCCTCAAGAGCTAAGTGAGGCGATGGAGAAGTGCTGCTGCCATGCTGCCCAGCATTCCCCATTCCTGTTCTTCCTACAGACATCTGTGCGCCAGGTGAGCCAGACGCGGTTCTACGTGGCTGAGAGCAGGGCCATGGCCCCACATGTCTCCCTGTTCGTGGGTGGCCTACCACCTGGCTTGTCCCCCCAGGATTACAGCAACCTGCTGCATGAGGCCATGGCCACCAAAGGTGTGACCTTGGGCTATCCAGGGCTCTGGCTGGGAGAGGGTCCTGACTGGGCAGTGGAACTGTGGTGCCAAACCTAAGTTCTCTTGCCTCCTCATGCACCATCTGAAGCCCATGCTCAGTTCCCACCCCAGGCCAACCAATACGGCCCTCACTGAGAGGCTTCTGGTCCCCCTCCCCTCCCATTTCCTAAAGTATTTAGTCTATGCTTCTTCTGGGAGGAATCCCTGTACATTCAGGAGTCAGGGACCTTGTTTGGGAATAGGGCATGGGTAATTCCCAGGGGGCTGACCCCAAAGGATGGGTCAGGGCTGCTTGGGTGGGCTGTGTTCTGGATGTAGATGCCCTTAGAAGGGAGGCTGGCCCTAGATTGGGAGGTCAGGCCCAGGCCTCAATATGCCACTCTGACTGCAAACTGTCTATGCAGCTGCTGTGGTGTCTGTGAGTCACGTCTACTCCTTACAAGGTGAGCTGATGTCTGGTGGATGTTCCTGGAGTCGGGTGGAAGAGCCTGCTCTTATACTGTCTTCTCTATATCCACATGCCTGGAACCATCCCTTGGTTTTGTTTCCTGGTTCACATCTATTGCTTTTGTTACAATATGGCTGAGATTTTAGCTGTTTCCCCCCAATCTTTGTGGGCCAGCATCTTTTACGGGGCAAGAAAGGTTTCAGATGCACTGCCATCCTTCTTGGCATGTGAACCCAGGATTCTCAGAGACCATGCAGTGCTCATGGTACTAGATTTGGGTGCAAGTGGTTGGTCGGGGAGATGAGCCTCTTTACTCACTGCTGGATCCTGAATTCAGCCTGCTGTCTGTGGGAATACTTTGCTGTAAGTAGCCCCTTACTGTGGATGCTACTTATAGTCAGCTGACATGAGCTGGCTGTGGTCAGAGCTGGGGCTGGTACTTGTAGTGGAGGCTCTACCTAGGTGCCTGGTTGGCATGGTACACAGGAGAGATTTTGGGGGTGTGATATCTTGGGGGTGGATTTCATAGACCCTGCCCTGAATACCATTTGGGTAGGATGCACAATATATCCTTCTCTGGGCACCTGGGGGTAGGATACACAGGACTCCTCACTGAGTACCTTGTGGATGGGGTGCATAGGACATCCACCCTGAGGTTTGGCCCACCTGTGGCAGGCGCAGTAATTCTGGATGTCACCTGCTTCGCGGAGGCTGAGCGGCTATACATGCTGGCCAGGGACACAGCAGTACATGGCCGGCCACTGACTGCACTGGTGCTTCCAGATGTACTGGTAAGTGATTAGGACTCTGAGACCAGCTTAATGCCTCAGGACCATCTCCTCATTGCCAGATGGCTGGTACATGCCACTTGGGCCTATCTACAACAGCCCAAAAGGGACAAGGTTGACCTTGACAAGGTTTACATCAGAGGGTCAGAGGTCAGAGAGTCAGTACTTGTCCAAGGTTTCTGAACGAGTGAGACATGATGCTTAGGATCAAGGCTGGTGGGCTGGAGAGATGGCTCAGAGGTTCAGAGCCATGAGTTCAATTCCCAGCAACCACATGGTGGCTCATAACCATCTATAATGAGATCTGGCGCCCTCTTCTGGTGTGCAGGCATACATGCAGGCAGAACACAGTATACATAATAAATAAATCTGAAAAATAAAACAAAACAAAACAAAGGACCGAGGCTGGTTTCACATCAGGAATGGTGAACTTCTAACCAGCTGGGATTACCACAGGACACAGCTCCAGCCCACTTAAGGCCAGAGTGTGTTGTGACCATGTGCCTACATCCTGCCAGGCCCTATCCTTTTGAGTATGATATTGGCCCCAACATTTACCCATGTGGCCATGTGCCTAGGGTTATTTCTGGCTGCTAGGTGGAGCTCCCTGACTTCAGATACCACTCTTACGACCTAGCAATGGTTGGGAAGAGGTGCACCCAGAAGGCAGCAGAAAGCAGTGGAATTGCATATGAGGAGTACCAGAAGGATTTATGCCTGGTCTCCACAAAGTGCCCACAGGTGTCCATGGCTTGATTGTACCCCAAACCCTGATCTTGACTTCAGACTCAAGTCTAGGAGGAACAGAATTCAAGTGGAATGAGTTTGGGAGACTGGCAGGCTTAGGCAGTGCCTACAGGTCCCTCCTGCCGCAGCCCACTGGTCCTGCCCTGGAAGTAGCTGTTACCAATGCCTAAGGATATAGAGCTCCCTGTATGTTTAACTAGGTACTGTCATCACTAGCTCTGTGGCAGTTAAGCACTGAGGCCATATAGTTTCTATTTCCTGTCAGCTGCCTGCCCTGGGGCAAGTGAGTAAGTGTTGAGTACCAGCAGCTCTGCCTATCCAGTGGGTACCCCATCTCAAGTATGTCCTTGTCAGGTATAATGTAGCTCCTGTGCTGCTGTCCACCTTTTGTCTGTACCTGGCTTGTGTGTCTCCTGTTACCCAAAACCACTGTAGAGACCTGAACCAGCCTACTGTGTCTAGGGAATGTCTCTTGGCATTATATATGGGAAGATTGCCTTTGTCCCCATGATCAGCAAGAGATGTGTGATTACCCTTGTAAACTGAGCCCTTTGGCTGCCATGTGGCAGATAGGATCTGGAAATTCCTGGGTCCCAAGGGGTATGTTGGTAGCTTTGAAAGGGCCAGGTGTCACTCCAGCTGGCTGGTGGTAACTGGTAGGACGTATGGATTTCCGACAGGAGCCTGTGGTTTCATGGATAAGAGAGTAGGAATGGTCCCTTGACATGTTAGAATATCTTTTCCCTTGAGAGCACCACCATGGCTGCTTGGAGCACTAAGCACAAATGCCAGGGACATATCCACTATGAGAGGTCAGTAATGAGTTGGAGATAAGTATGTGGACTGCTTAGCCTCAGGAAGGACTGGCTATGGCTTGGTAGGCTTGGAATCTGAGGCTGGACATGGCTTAGCAGTTCCTATGTGGGACCTTGACCCCAACATAATTCAGTACCCCACTTCTCAGCACACGAAGCTGCCTCCTGACTGCTGCCCCCTCCTCGTGTTTGTGAACCCAAAGAGTGGGGGCCTCAAGGGCCGAGAGCTGCTCTGCAGTTTCCGGAAACTGCTGAATCCACACCAGGTCTTTGAGCTGACCAACGGGGGCCCTCTTCCTGGGTGAGTCTGGAGTTTTCTGGCATGTGGAAAAAGCAACCCCTACCTGTCTCTAGCTAGTAGGAACTCCAAATGGGACTGCTGGAATAATTAAGTCCTCTATGTGGCCAGAGATGGACATCTGAAGAGTAAAGTGCTGCCCAGGGCAAGAATGAATGGCTAGGTCTTGGCCTGGGCAGCCAGGAAGTAGTGGCAGAACACTGTCTCCCACACAGGTTCCACCTTTTCTCTCAGGTGCCCTGTTTTCGGGTACTGGTGTGTGGTGGAGACGGCACCGTGGGCTGGGTGCTCGCTGCCCTGGAGGAGACAAGACGCCATCTGGCCTGCCCAGAGCCGTCTGTGGCCATCCTGCCCCTGGGTACAGGTGGGCTTAGCCATCAACTTGAAGGATGGGGTCTCAGGGCTGTCCCCACTGTGGGTTATGCTAGAGATTCATGGTGGTATGTGGATTATGCTGTCTTTCCTGTTTCCTAGGGAATGACCTTGGCCGGGTCCTCCGTTGGGGGGCAGGCTATAGTGGTGAGGACCCATTCTCTGTGCTGGTGTCTGTGGATGAGGCTGATGCTGTGCTCATGGATCGCTGGACAATCCTGCTGGATGCTCATGAGACTGATAGTACAGAGAACAGTGTGGTAGACACGGAGCCCCCCAAGGTACCAGTGTGGCACCTGCAAGCATCTTACATTTGACTCCCCCTTTGCTGATGTGTGTCTTTCCTCCTGAGGCAGAGCAAGAGCTTGCTGACTGAAGCCTGTGGGGTTGTTGGGTTCTGCCCTCTCTGGGGGTGCTGTGGCATTTAAGCAGAGAGGTTACTAGGAACAGGTACTGGTGACAACAGAGTTAGAGATGGCTGGCACAATTTGGGACACTTGGGAATGGCTGGCAGGATTCTGAACACTGGGGAGTGCCTGGCCAGCATCCTGGTTATGCCCTGTCTCCAGATTGTTCAGATGAGTAACTACTGTGGCATTGGTATCGATGCGGAACTCAGCCTAGACTTCCACCAGGCACGTGAGGAGGAGCCTGGCAAATTCACAAGCAGGTACTAGTAGAGCTGGGCTGGGGGATCAGGTCACTTAGAGCAGCTAGCAGCTTTTACCTGGTAATGCAGGATGTCTACCTCTCCTGTGGCAGGTTCCACAACAAGGGTGTGTATGTGCGGGTTGGGCTGCAGAAGATCAGCCACTCTCGAAGCCTACACAAGGAGATCCGGCTGCAGGTGGAGCAGCAGGAGGTGGAGCTACCCAGCATTGAGGGTCTCATCTTTATCAACATCCCCAGGTGCTGGGGCTGGGCTCTCAGAGATTCTGCAGTTTGGGCCAGGTGCTAGGTCTGTGTCTGGTCTGTGCTTAACTTTGTATTTTCATCTTTTGGGGGCAGCTGGGGCTCGGGGGCTGACCTGTGGGGCTCTGACAGCGACTCCAGGTTTGAGAAGCCGCGCATAGACGACGGGCTGTTGGAGGTGGTGGGTGTAACGGGTGTCGTGCACATGGTGAGCACTCACTGGCAGGCTGGTGGGCAGGCCCTGTGGTACCCCTTGGGCCCACTAGCTAGCTCAGCTTTTGTCTTGCCTAGGGCCAGGTCCAGGGTGGGCTGCGCTCTGGAATCCGCATTGCCCAGGGCTCCTACTTCCGTGTTACACTCCTTAAGGCTACTCCAGTACAAGTGGATGGTGAGCCCTGGGTTCAGGCCCCAGGGCACATGATCATCTCTGCTACTGCCCCTAAGGTATGTTGGCAAGGTTGAGAACAGAGGTAAAATGGGTCAAGGTTAGAGCCATGCAGGCTGATGCTGTACAATAGCTAAGGCCAGGTGGGTCTAAACGTTGGCCTTCTGGGGCTCCAGGTGTCATGAAGCCCTGGTGAAAGCAGCTTTGCTCTTTGAAGCCATTGCCCCTCTTTTGTGGAATGGAGCCAAGAAGTATTCACTGGCCCAGAGGTCCCAGAGCTATCACTTGTAACGTCACTCTGGTCCTCTGACCCTCCATCCCTGCCTTGGAACAGGTTCACATGCTGAGGAAGGCCAAGCAGAAGCCCAGGAAGGCTGGCACCATCAGGGATACCCGAGTGGACACCTTGCCTGCTCCTGAGGGCAATCCTTAATAGAGGAGCCAAGATGAAGGGTCTCAACCACCCAGCCTTTCTCGTCTTTGGTTCTGTTCCAAGTCACATATTGGCTTGCCAACAAATGGACTTAGCTATACCATTGGCCATAGCATCTTCATGGGTCTTGGGATGTTTCCATCCCTCATCCTTATCCAATGTCATCTGCAAACTTAGTAGCAGGCAGGTAATGACCACTGCTCACTCTGCTACAGCCCCAGTCTATAGGACATGGGCACAAGGCTCTGGCTACTTTGTCTTCTATACAAGACTGGTATAGGATAAATGGAGCTGGTCCGGTTAGTCACACTCCTCCCTTTGAAATCTCTTACGAGTCCCTTGGGCCCAACACTTCTGGATGCAGGCCATCCAGGTGGGCCCTCTGATCTTATTTTGTTTTCTTTCAAAACAGTTAGCCCTATTAGGCCCTGGCCTAGCAGATACAGAATGCTGCTTGTTCCTCCTGCCCCTTTTAGGTGGGTGTGGCATCCTCAAGTTCCCTGGGCTCATCACCAGACAGCAGTTTGGGCTTAAGATATTAGTTGCAAGGTCTCATCCAGCTAGTGTCCCTAAGCTGAAAAGCTGTACCAAGAAAGGAGAATCTTTGTCTAACCTGAGACTAGTTAAGTTTAGGTGCCACTCATGTGTCACAGCTGGAGTATGTGCCAGGCCCTGAGTGTCCCTCCTCAGCCCTGGAGTGGTCACCTTGTGTCCAGAAGGGATCAGAACAGGGCCAGGTGGTACTTGGTTGAGGAGTGTGTAAATAACATTGGCTATTGTGGAGTGCTTAAAACTCCCTTAGACTCAACTTATAGCACTTTATATACATGCTCTTTGCCAGCCTGTAGCCCTTCCTTGTAGATGTAGAGCTTCTGCTCTGGCTCCTACATAAACCAAGGCAGCTCTGATGGCCAGGCCTTGCTGGGAGCATCAGGTTCACAGAATGAGAGAAAGCTCTCTTCCATCACCCAAGAATTCATCAGACCCCAGAAGAATATGTCCAAAAATAAGCTGTCTAGCTAAACCTGGTGGTGCATGCCTGTAATTCATTTCTTGGGGGCTAAAGCAAGAGAATAGCATGTTTAAGACCTGACTGGGCTACAGAGCTAAAGCCCCTGTTGAAAAGTAAAAAGATAAAAAAAAATGGGGGGGGGTGTGCTAAAGATGTTCAGGGGGCCAGCCTCAGCCCTGGATGGGGGAGGACCTATGTGGGATGTGTCCTGTGATACCCCACAAACAAGTAAATGGGTCTAGATCCTTCTCCTGTTTGTATCACTGGGCCTGTGCCACTCTCAGAAGTGGCTATGGTGTGGACCAGGGGGTCTACCTGGCTGGCAGCTTTATAGGACCATTGTTCCACTCCCTCACCTGCTTCTGCCAAAACTGCACACAAGTGCATTAGGTAGCCATTTGTGTTCTCAGCATAGATGTTCCTCATGTTTACATCATTTTCCACATTCAAAAGAAACTGCAATGTAGTTTTTCACTTTTATTTCAGTCTATAGGAATTATTTGTAAATTGTGGTCAGTGTAGCATGTCCTTTGTATTTAAGTGAGACTGTCCCTTTGTGGAGTGTGTCCTGTCTCTGTGTGTAATTTATCACTACCTGAATGTGATCTAACTTATATCTGGGCCAAATACATTGTGCTGTCCTGTAGCTGCCTCTTGTCTTTGTCCAACTACTAGTACAGGAATGGGCAGATAAACTGTCAGTCCCACTAGGGAAGCTCTGCACTTGTGAGGATGTGAACCAGACAGCAACTTCTCAGCCTGACTTAGCCCAGACTCAACTACCCAAAGGTTCTGAGCAGAAGGGTGGACTGTGTGGCCACATGCAGGTCAGAGCAAGGAAAAGGGATGGTCCTCTCATCTTGGCTAGGTGCTAACTGCCTCAAACAACCTTGGTGACAGCCCCTGGCATCTTACTCAGGTTAGTCAGACAGGTCAATTCCCCTAGCAGTGTTGGGAACAGGAAGTGAAGAGGAAAATAAATAGGTAAAAGTAATAAAATCAGTTCCCATGAAATCTCTCATTGCAAAATGTGAACAATGTTCATACTCTTGAAATAGATCTTGATATTTCACAATGTACACAATACCCAGGCCAATAAAACCATAGCCCCAGGGTCACAACAAACTTCTACTGAGCCATCTCCACAGGATCCCTTACAGTATGCCTGGGATGGGCAGGTGTAGCTTCCTTGGCATTAACAGGGGGCAGGTAAAAGCTGAGACTGTGCCTCAGGTTCACCCTGGCCTGGTTGAGGGTGCTCTGGCCGGAGTTCCCATAGGATGTGAAGGCCTGCCAGGGCAAGGCGCACAAGGAGACGGAGCAGCAGGAAGGCAAAGGGCACTGCAATCTGCATGAGGTGGAAGATGGCTGTGCTGAACCGGCTCAGCAGGCAGGTGGCAGCAAAGGCCAGCAGGCTGGCACAGGGGTACAGTGCAAGCTTGGCAAACATGAAAGCATGCTCCTGCCCACCAAACTGCACAGCTGGCTGCAGTGTTTCTGTCTGGTGTAGCAGGGCTGCAGTCCAGATGGCAAACTGGAAGATGCTGGCCAAGAAGATGATGGCACAGCTGACGCGCACACGCTCCAGCTCATCACGGGGCTGTCGGGCAAAAGCTGAGGTCTGCTGGTAGGCCAGAGGGAGGCCACCCACAAAGGCCAGTGACAGTATGTTGAGTAGCCCCATGGTCTGTGTAGCCTTCCGGACATGCAGGAAGAGTGAATGGTGGGCAAACCAGAGCAGACCCACTGTAGCAAAGGAGCCGAAGTATGCCAGGAATTGTGGCCCATATGCACCCAGGGCAGTCACAAGGCTGCCACTGAATTTCTCTTGCACATCCTTGGGATCTGGAACGTTGTCCTCACTGGGAAGTATGAACAGATGACATATGTATCCCAAAGATGGCAGGACCAGAGGGGTATACCAAGCATCATAAATGAATTTGAGATTAATAACATGATCTTAGCAAACAAATGTTCCTTATATGCTACTTACATATATTTTGCATACTAAACAGTTACTCTTCTTCACTCAAAACGCAAATTTAACCAGTCCTGTATATTCTCTGCCAACTGGTGCCCTATCTGACAGCCAGGAATTGACAGATAGCTCTGGTTCGTTGGCCAGGGCCAGCTTTCTGAGGGTAGGATACCTATGAAAGAGAGCCCCCACAACTATCCTGAATCTTGCAGGCTGTGTTGGAACATAGAGTCTAGGAATGGGAACCCATCACCTGGACATGAACATCAGGACACCCCAGTACCCACTGCTTTCTCCAAACCAGCCAGAAGGAGGGACATAGGGTTGGGGCAGGCAAGAGCATGAGGGCTGTCATATGAAGTAAAACTCCAGGCAGGAAGTGGCAGCCTTCTCTTGGCTTTGATTTCCTGCCCTAACCATGGCTTCTTAGCTGTGAGTCCTTCAGCCCTGGCCACAGAATGGAAGCAAAAGGAGATTGTTCTGGAATATTCTTTAAATCTAAGAACTCAGGAAATCAGGTACTAATGAATATTCACTTCTAGCTCATAAGAATTCACAAATTGGGGCTGGAGAGATGGCTTAGAGGTTAAGAGCACTGACTGCTCTTCCAGAGGTCCTGAGTTCAATTCCCAGCAACCACATGGTGGTTCACAACCATCTGTAATGAGATCTGGTGCCCTCTTCTGGCCTGCAGTCATATATGCTGTATACATAATAAATAAATAAATCTTTAAAAAAAAAAAAAAAAAAAGAATTCACAAATTATAGTAGAAAAACCTACTCAAAAGTATCAGGAGAATCAGTGTCAGATACAGAATATAAAACCAGAGTTGTAACGTGTTTAATAAAATAAGTATGTAATGGAATGACTGAGGAAACATAGGCCAGAGGAGAGCAAAGGGCTTAAAAAAAAAGGGGGTGGGTGGGTGGGTGGGTGGAGGTAGAGGAGACACTTGGAAATAAAAGTGAGCACCCACCAGAGCACTAACAAGAGCCAGTCCTATTAAGTACGAAAGTGGACAAGGTCTGAGGGAGCTGCCTGAATACTTCTGGGATGGAGAACACAAGGTAGCCTAGCACCTGTGCTTTCAGGTTGAAAGCAATGAACGGGATGGCAGACCTTTAGGGAAGGGGGCCTACATAAATCTCCAAGTACCCAAGGGGAAGCTAGCACGGAGTAATACCTTTCTGGAGTTCCTAAGGACAAAACACTCAAGGACATACTACCACCTGGAAGATGGGCCAAAGCAGCAGAATTAGGGTCCTTACCAAATGTCCAGGATGAGGAGTGTGGCCACGATGGCATAGACACCGTCACTGAAAGCTTCCACCCGTTCTTTGCTGAGGGGCGCATGCAGATCAATACTGAAGGGTTCCACATTGTGAGGTGGAGACTCCCTGTGGCCTGTGGACATGCCAGGAAAAGGAACTAGCCTAGGTTAGAGACCATCAGGCCAGTGTGGATATCACTGCCGTCTTCTCCAAGGGGCCAGGAATATACAGGCCAAGAGGGGAAATGATGCAGAGATGTTTAAAGGGCAGGAAGCAGCCAGGGCCCAGTAAACCCACCACCAGAACTGGGCTGAGCCCAGAAGGCATCACAGACTGCCTTGTTCCTACTCAGTGGTCCTTGGGAGTAGCCTGAAATCCAGTGGAACCTTCCAACATGCTTATTGTAGTGCTGTGCATGGTCACCTACCCATGAGCTTGTCTTTGCACCAGGCGGTAGCCTTGCTGATATGAGGGAGGAAGATGACAGTCACCATCAGCACATATGACTGCAGGAAGAAATAACAGGTCAGGGTGTTTCCCTGGGAACAGGGGCTGCTCACACCTCAAGTCTGGTCCCACTCTTCTGCCACAGATGGAGGGGCAGCAGGAGCAACAAAGGAAAATCCAGAGAACTGTCCTTTATGGAAATTAACTGTGTATAAGGGCAATATCCCAAAAGGAAGGACTATTATAAAGGAGAAATGGATACCAGTCATGTACTTTCTGAGAATTTAGTATCCAGAATACATGAAGAATAGTAACAGCTCAACAACAAAAGGTGAGCATTCCAACTAAGAAATTAATGGGAATGGACTTGAAAAGACACTTCACCTGTGACTCTTCAGTCAAGGTCTGCTTGGCTAGATGCTTCCCATACACTGTTCTGTTCCATTCCAGTTTAGAAGTCTAGGGGTTCCTTGGACCCCACCCACTTAGCTAGAACCTTATCCCCTCACAAGATGACCAGCTAAGGCTTTAAAGGATGGCATCTGCAGCACTCACAGGCCTTCATTAGTCCATCTGTTTAAAACTTGGAATGTTCTTGAAATGCTAACCAAACATTCACTAATTTTTACTTATTTAATTTTAATTACATTTAATTACTAATTTTTTGTTTGTATGTATGTGTGACCATGTTTATGCCTGTTACCAAACATTTAAAGTAACTAGCATTTGTTAATTTTCAATATTCTTAGGATACTTTGGTAATTCAATGTACTTTCATAGTACTTAAGATGACCCTGCTCAAGCCGGCTCCCATAGCCTGCTCTGAAAAAACATTGTTTCAGCATTGCCTGTTCTTTCTCCTGTTAGCTGTCCTTGCTTTTTTCCAACTGTGCTAAGACATCCTCTGAGGTTCTCACCAAGTGCTCACCAAGGGAAAGAAGAAGAGGGAAAAGACAGCTGCAACAAAACACAGTGCTGGGCCACGGAGGACTAGGCGCAGGATATGCCGCCGGGACTGGGCCCTGTGTGTTGAATGCTGGATCTGTGGACTCAGCAGGTGTGGGAAGTGGAAAGCATACCCTACAATTAGTGCCTGTGGTAAAAACAAACAAATAAAACAAGCTATAGGGCATCAGCAGGTAGACGAAGCACCAGTTAACCCTTGAGCCAACATACACATTTTTAGGGGTTAGGAGCAAGAGGGTCCCTCCTAGATAGCCTCCTACCCTAGGATGTTCTGAGAAGCTGGGGTCGAGAAGAGGGTAGAAACTCTCATCCTATTCCAAGACTGTGAGGCCCTGGTTATGCCACATCCCAGGTGCATTTATGGGTAAGACTGGGCTACTTGAGATATAGATCAGACTTGCACACCGAATGGCAAACACACATCCACATCCTGTGTCCTTACCTGCACAGATCCAATGGCAATCACACACATGCAGAACAGGAAGATGCCCAGGGGCACATCAGGGAACGTCACCATTAGAGAAAACTGTCAAAAGAACCCCCACAAGACCCCCCAAAGGCTATCAGAACTAGGCTCTGAGGTGGTGTATAATGAGCTTCCTCGTCTCTGTACTGGGCACTGAGAAGAAAACTGTCCTAGTGTGGGGACAATGGCATGGGGCTGGGCATGGGTATATTCAGCTCTCCAACAGAACAATGCCACCCACTGCTTTAGGCCTTTAAAGCCACCATCATGTAAAATCCCTCAGATCTGAACTATCTGCATCGTAGCCTTGTATACTTTGGCCAACAACCTATATTAGAATTTTGAATGCTTGTTCGTCTGCTAGTGGCAATTATGAAGAGAGGCAGGTGGAAGCAAGGGGCATCCGGGACACTCTCAGTGGCCTCTGCCTCCAGCAGCCCTAAACTCCTTTTTCTATTCACACCAACCGCTAGTTCTCTGGAAGTCTCTCCTTTTTAATTTGCAGTCCAGGTCTTGAACCTGCATTTCTGAGGACTGCCACACACAGATGTGCTCAAGGGAGATGTGTATGCAGGGAGATGATCTTTACTCACTGTGTAGGGTAGAAGGGTGATGGTCATCATACAGGCCTGCAGTGAAAGGAAAGGAAGGTCACAGTCATCAGAAAGCCTAGAGGGTAAGGGGCACTCCAGGAAGGCAGCAGTATATCTACAGGAGTTGTGGGGTGAGATATACCCAAGAAGCCTGTTTGTCTGTCCTGGACAGGAGGACTCCATGGGCCATCTGAGGAGCTTCCAGGAATGGACAAAATCCAGGTTGTGGGGACCCATATCTTGTCCTACCTTTCAGGAGGGCTAAATCATACATAAACTCATTTTTCAAAACAATTACTCACCAGGTTGAGCAAGGCAAGTGTATCATCTATTTTCCCAACAACCTGGAACAATCTAAAGTTAGGAAAAAGAGAAGATGGGCTATCATTCAAATATGGGTCCAATAATAATAAAATTAAAATGCACCTCCCACAGTATTTTCTAGTTAAAATATCATTGAAGATGTCACTTTTGATCAAATTTAAGAAACTACCAGCCGGGCAGTGGTGGTGCACGCCTTTAATCCCAGCACTTGGGTGGCAGAGCCAGGTGGATCTCTGTGAGTTCGAAGCCAGCCTGGGCTACCAAGTGAGTTCCAGGAAAGGCGCAAAGCTACACAGAGAAACCCTGTCTCAAAAAACAGAAACAAAAACAAAACAAAACAAAAAAGATACTACCTAGTGGGACTGATGATAAGACTTAGCGGGTAAAGGTTGCTTTTTAAGCCTGAGAACCTGAGTATGATCCCCAGACCCACATGGTGTGAGGAAAGATGCAAATCCTATAAGATATCTTCTGATTTTGACACACTGACATACACTAAAATCTAACTTTTGAAAAATATAAATAGTACCAAGTGTATGAAAGTTTGAAAATTCAAAGAAAACATAGCTTATGTAGGGAAGCATGTACCTTTTCCACACATTCTTCCCATTTTGCACAAAGTTTGCAGAAATCTTTTGCAGACAGTCTTTTCATAGAAAGCCTCGAGGAAGACTTCTGCACAAAGGCAGGGGCCTTTTAACTGTCCAGGGAGGTCCTGCTAAGGGCGGGACTAGCAGGGTGGCTATAAGCTACCTGTCCCATGAGTGAGAAACAGCCTCTGGGGATGTGGAGCTAGAGTTCTATTGTACAATACACTTGTTTTTTAGGCATTATATCTAAAATCCATTTTGAAGGAAAGAAATATTCTTTTCTTATTTTTTCTCCCCAAAGATTTCATACACTGCACCTGTTAGAAGTTGTTGTTTAACAGAGAGGTGGTTTTGTATGGAGATACTACAATGTAAATAGAAAACAAAATGGAGTACCATCCTTCAGGGAAACATGAGCACAGGCTGCCAAGAATCCTGAAGCTTCCTCCAATGCCTGGGCCCTACAACAGGGTTGCCCCCAGTAGTCTTTGGCTGTGGCTCAGGCTGCCACCCATCCAACTCTGAGCACATGGCCTTCTCTTGGACTGGACTCAGCTGAACTGCCATTCTCACTCTAGAAGCTACCCCTAGCTCATGTCAGTGACACAGGCTCATTTGGGCTGAAGTCTTAATAAACCAAATAGAAGGGGCTGCAACTCTAGAGACAGGAGTTCTGCTGCCTACTTACTGGTACTAAGACCAAGTGAGCACCCAAAGCAGGATGCAGAACAGATCTATGAAGGGCCTCCCTGGGCCTCAGAACCCTGCTGTTGATGTTTTTCACAGTGGGTGTGGCCCCTGATGAACGGACCATGATGCTGGTATAGGGAAGGTTGGCTAAAGTTGCAGGCAGGCACCCAGCACCCACCAGGCTGTGTGCCTCGTGAACATTCCATAAAGGGAGACCAAAAAGATAAAGCCTGCCAATTCTTGAAACAGAAAGGCCATCTATCAGCATAATCTTGCTTGGAACAAGTGTGTGACATGAAACATTTTGCTGCACTTTTAAATGTACTTTTAAAGAGCAGTGAGCTGGATGCCTTTAATCCCAGCACTTAAGAGGCATAGGCAGGCTAGTCGATACAGATTCACACCACCACCACTACCCCCCCCACACACACACACAGAGCAGTGAAATCTTTACTAGGATCTGTGGATTTTTCTGTACCTTAAGCATTCTCTGAAGAGTATTTCCTTTGATTATGCTGATTTGCAGCCAGGAATGCAACACCTACATGCCCAGCTCTGCCTATGGAAACCTCCTGTCCCTCCTTTGCTACCCTGAGCAAATCATGACAATGAAGACCTTGTGTTAAAGGTCTGACTCCCTACCTGGTATGTGCTGCCCATGCCACAGTTACGATCAGAAATGTCATCAGGTAGACTGCAATCCTAGTAGCTAGAAGTTTCTGTATACTTTTGTCAAATTGCTGTATGAAAAGAACATTGCTATTAGAACAAAGTAACACATATCATTTCAACAAGACTTACCCTAATGCACAGTGAGAAGGTCACCAGGCTCAAAGTGTATGCAGTCTATGTCTGCTCCCAGTCTAATCTTACTTCTACTACACTTGTCCCACCTCCAGCCTCAAAGATGTCTTTTGCAGGTAGTTTTCCTAAAGCAATAGATTCCCTGGGTGTCACAGGCTGACACCATCACCTCAAGTGACAAAAAATCCTGGCTGTCAGCAGGTCTTCTGTCCAGGGAGAGTCTAAGCATCTCAACAGTCACAGCATAAGGCATACAAAGGACAAAAAAAAGGCATCTAGTCCTTCTACAAGGTCATTAATTTTCTTCTAAAGTATTCACTTTGGGGTTTAAGTTCCAACATGTGAATTCTGGAGGGACACAGACATCTAGGATATAGCAAGGCTAGATCTAGCATAGTCATGGGCAGGGACACCTCTAAAAGTTCCCAATGAGATTACAAGCATAACGGGTCTTCCGTAGACACCACTTAAGGGGTTGTGGCTAGAACAGAGACCAGAGTACTAACAAAAAAAACTCAATCAAGGCAGAACTCTTACCTCTGAAATCATGAGCAGGGAGCCTTATGCTTTTTAAACATACTCAAAGAAACTCACTTTGTAGACCAGGTTGGCTTCGAACTAACAGAGATCCATCTGCCTCTGAGAGTGCTGGGATTAAAGGCTTGCACCACCACGCCCAGCTTTTTTGTTTGTTTTTGAGACAGGGTCTCTCTACATAGTCCTGGCTGTCCTGTTGGGCCTCAAATTCACAGAAATCGACCTGTCTCTGCCTCCCAAGTGCTGGGATTAAAGGTGTGCATCCCCACACTTGGTCTCTTCTTTTTATTTTGAGACAGGATCTAAGTTGCCCACACTGGCATTTAACATGGAAATCTTTTGCCTCAACCTCCAGAGCAGCTATTGATCACAGGCAATGCCACCAGGCCTGGAAGTTAAGTCTTTTTTTTAAAAAAAATTGAGCAAAAGCCAGGTATGGTGCCACATACCTTTAATCCCAGCACTCGGG